AAAAAAATTATTTTATTCTTTTTTGTTTTAACTATTTAAATTGGAAATAACTTTTGGTTTCAGAACTTTTTTAAAAGACCTTGTATGTCATTTTATAAATTTCTGATTGTTCCTCGTATAGCGTTGGAAAGTGACACCTAGTGGTGAGTGACGAAAATAATCAAATTTCAAAATTTCACATTACAAAAAAATTATTTCATTAAAAATAAATACATATTTTTTATTGACTAAAATTTACTATAACTATAAAACTTTGGATGAAATCAATGCAATAAACGAATACGATGCTTTACAAATTCATAACTTAATAATGTATGTATAATGTTTTGCAACATTAATTACTCCAATAAAAAATATAAGCTGCAATTAATGGAGCTACCGATTCGTTAAAAATTTCATAATTATTTCATATTTTTGAGACAATTTTAATTTTAATGAAAAAATAAGATAGCAAAATGTTTTTCTTTTTTAAACTTGTAAAGTACCCACGTGCTTACACTGCGTTGTACTGTTAATAAAAAAAATAACATCAAGAAGAAGTAACAGATTTACAGACTGATAATGTTATCAGTTAAGATAAAAGCCAGAGACATGTTTATACTCATACATAATTAATAGCACCTTTATACATCTAATTAATTATATTTAGTTAATTAACAGTTTTGTTTGTTGAAGATGCGACTACAACTATGGGAGCTCAAATAAATTTGTTTTTTATTTTAACTTTTTTAGTAATTCAGATTAAAAGTAAGTAAAACCAGTACTTTAAAAATGCAATATTTTAAGAGCAATTCATTTATGCCCTATTAATTATAATATTTTTTTGTGCAGTGTATAGTGAAAATCTAGAGGGTAGAATTGTCGGAGGAAAACCAGCAGGTAACGGGGATGTTCCATACACGGTAAATGATTATTTTCGATTTAATTCTTTTACGCAAATTGATCATTTTTTCATAATTTAAAAATGTTAAATATGGGTACATATAGAATATTATGATTAGTCACGGTCAAAGTTCGAATAAACAGTATAATGTTCGTTTATTTTTCATTTAATCAGGGAAAGTAATAAAAAGTGTTCTCGTGCTAAACTCAAAGGTGCATCTAAACAAGGCAATATTTTTTTATTAATAAATCCGGAGACAAAATTGAAGAAACAGAGAAAGGTGTCTGCACTGATCTTCATTCGCATCCCCTCATACATAGGACCATTTTTGTAGAGCATTAAAAGTTTAAGCGATAAATTTATTGTAAAATAATTTTTTATAGGTTTCTTTAAGAAGATCGTGGAACAATGAGCATTTCTGTGGGGGCTCGTTAATAACGAATAAACATGTCCTGACCGCAGCTCACTGTGTTTATTATTCGTGGGGCGGGCCCCTTCCAGCATTCACAATTTACGTGGTAGCAGGCCAAATAAAATTGGAAACAAATGGAAGCAGCATTTACAGGGAAGCATCAAATATAATAGCACATCCACAGTACAATACGAAAAATCTCATAAATGACGTAGCAATTATAGAAGTGAGTAAACGTTCTAATTTGATCATTCTTTTTGAAACAAAAACAGATTCATTTTTAGATAAACAGCGCGTTTTCTCTGACGAAGTCAATTGCAACAGTAACCCTTAAAATGGAGCCCGTAATCTCTGGATCGTGTCAAGTCAGTGGTTGGGGATATCAGAAATTTGTAAGTTTAATTAATTTAATGTGATTAATTAAGGGAAACGAACAAACAATTTGTTTTTTCTCTAATCAGGGAGCTGATCAGTTGAGTCCGATTCTGATGATAGCTGACGTAAAAATTATGGACTTCTCAACCTGTTACATTAATTATTACGAAAGGAGTAATGGTTCTATCGTACTCGATCGCGGCATGATTTGTGCTGGCCATCAGCAGGGTAAAACGGACGCGTGTGGGGTAATGTTTTGTTTCGATAGTAATCCAATAGATGTAAAATGAAATTAATTGTAGGGCGATTCCGGTGGACCGCTGACGTGCAACGGACTGCTAGCAGGGGTTGTTTCAGCAGGAGTGGGATGCGCCAACCCCGATTTTCCAGGTATTTATGCAAACGTTCCCTATTACTACGACTGGATATTATCTAAAATAAACGCATGCTCTGATTGTTCTACATCAAAGTCTGTCTCCGAAGCTACAAGTATAACGGAGAGTAGTAAATTTGTTATTGTAACAGAAGGAACGGTAATTAGTTTCCCATTTAATGTAACCAACGGCAAAGCGACCGGATACGTGGGGTGTTTTAATAATTTTAGTTTCTTGTTATTATTATTATTATTGCCTCTAATGCACGCAATACTTAATTATTTTTAATAATGTTATAATGCACACACAAAACAAAATTGCTTTTTATAATGTGTATTATCAGTGAGACAAACAACCTTGAATGTATGTAACGCGCGAGTTGATTATAAAAAAAAAATAGGGTCAAACAAAAGAGTACATGTATAAAATTAAATAAGCCCTTTTACGAAATTTTTCGAGTGTTTAATTTGTCTACTTGTTAATTCTTATATGAATGTTTTAAAGTGCCAACTAGTGCAAAATATGCCCGTTAAAAAAAAGTATTACTAACAAGTCAAAGTTTAGTATTGACGTCACCTAACTTTTGAGAAGCAAATTTGCATAAAATGTACAAAAAAAATATGTACTCTGGCTTCCTATAATTTTATTTAAACAACTATGAAACCGAAAACCTAATTGTAACGAACACCTTTTAAATTATTATTTATTGTTTGTTTTTTATTTTTGAGTGGAAGAGTTGTGTAAATAGATCAGCTCCTTTCTGATTTACTTCTTCATAGCCATACGGTTGTAACGTTTTCTTCATTTTTTCGTACCATTCAGAAACGCGCGGGAAATCTTTTATATTAAATCCAACGGCCTAAAAAGAGTACATTACATTAGATTAAATTAAGATAATCATGACTCGATTCATTCTTTTTTTTTTTTATTTCTTTCCCTTGTTCTTATATATCCCTACAAAAATAACTTACGTCGGCGGTTGAAACGGTTGCTATTATTGAAAAATCGGCGATCGTCATTTGGGGCCCAGCCACCCACTGGCTATTTTCTAGCAACGTATTTAGTAATTTCAAGGCCTCCTTAACTTTATCAGCTTGTTCGTCGTTCGGTTTTTCCCCGTGAAGTAGCACGGGCACCTAAACGGAAATTTTATTGACCAGATCTTGTGTAATTTATAGATATATTTATAAACTTACGTAATAATTCATCAAACTTTGATACAGCGTGCCAATGTCGAAGTATAAAAGTTGATCGACTTTAGCAGCTAATTTTGGATCATTTGGTATATATTTGTGCTCTTTATCATATTGATCTTCCAGATATTTAAGAATTGCGCGACTAAATTGTAATGTAAATTATTAAAGCAGTTAGTTATTAATTAGTTGGATTGTTTACCTTTCCCAAAGAACATAATCATGGTCTACTAATGTCGGTATGGTATGTTGAGGATTTAGCTACAAAGAAATAATAAAAAGGTATAAAGTATTAGCAGCAAAAATCGTTTATACCTTTAAAAACTCTGGTTTCATCTGATCTCCGTTGACAATATTTAGCGATTTAAGATTAACAGTAAGTCCCAAAACACGTAAGAAAAGAAGGACGGCTCTACAAGGGGGGCTTGGTGGAAAATAATATAAATCTATGCCGTCCATTGTTTATAAAAGCTACGAACAACAGAAAAAGACTAATCGATATTAATTAAATTAAAACTTACAAAATACTAATAAGTAGGTTTATTTTCATATCTCAACAGTTTTCACGATAAAACACTTTAACGTTACATGTACTTACCGTTATGGTACTTCACGAAAAAGTGGACCTCTTAAAAGTAGTAAAGTGTAACATGTAATTGAATTATAGTATTTGCTTTTCTATTTTAAACGGTCTTAAAAAAGTTAGTTCGTTTTTGTACAAATTTAGGAAAATCTTGTTAGGTAACTGATGGCTCGCAATTTTTTATATGAATGCATAAATGTTAAACCGTGTTTTTAAATTAAATTTTTTAATAAATGTTGCGTGATGAAAACCTTCTATAAAATTTATAAGTAAAACACACATTCAAAGCAAAATTCTATTAGGTATGTTGTAATTATTTCTGATCTGATATCTGTAATTGCAATCAATTTTTAACTTCCTACAATTATCTTATTCAACAATAATAACAACGTTAAATTTTATTTCCTTTGCTATTCGATCCTTCAGATAATATTGTAACAAATAATTACAGTATACAAAGTACTTCATTATATGCATATAAATTATTGTTTTTTTTTTTTTAATGACAATCATTTGCCCTAAAGTGCTTTTCTAATTAAGGGGCGTTTAAACATGGATTTATTTTATCGTTAGTCCACTCTATTGGTAATTAACTTTAAACAAAACAGCAAGTTATTAGCAAAATTGCTATAAAAACATCGTTTATAAAGATAATGATGTTCTATAAATTATAATTTTTAGTGCCTATTTACCTAGTGTATTGATACATTTAGTTTTAACAACAAATACGTAGATCATAGTGGTTAACAAGATAAATATTAAGAAATACAAAAAGCAATAAGAAAAAATAATTATTATACATTTACTACGTTAGGTATTGTTGAGACACTCTATTTTTCCATTCGTATCTATGGGCTTTGCGAGGTACTATGGTTTTTCTAACCTCCATAATTTATACCTCTGTTGTCTATGGTCTAACCTCTTTCATATTAGTTTGTGGTTATGACAGTTTGAGGCTGCTACTATTTCTCGATATTTTCGTGAATAGTCTGGTTCAGCGCTGATCAATTTCGACGGTTATTGGTTATCTCGACCAGATAATTAAGTTAAAAAAATGGTGAGAATTTTGAAATTGGTATTTGCACAACAAATTACAAAATTATGAACGTTTTACCTCCACGTGTTCCCAAAACTTTTTGGCTTTATTTGCAAAAACGTGTTACGATTGTTTGTATATTTTCTCGCTGTTTTCGTATTAATTGTGCCGTTTTTATCGTGTATTTTTTATGTTATGATCTATAACATTTTTTTTTTGTATAACCTCAATTATATTGTAATCGATCTCGTTTGTTATTAGACTTCCCTAAAAGAAAATCCTGAAAAACCCGGTCAAGAATCTGCACCGGTTCATCGTATCAGAATTACATTGACATCGCGAAATGTGAAGTCTTTAGAAAAAGTCTGTTCTGATCTTATCAGCGGTGCCAAGAAACAAAAGTTGAAAGTAAAGGGACCAGTACGTATGCCCACCAAAGTGTTACGCATCACCACTCGTAAGACTCCTTGCGGTGAAGGTTCAAAGACGTGGGATCGTTTCCAAATGAGGATCCACAAGAGAGTTATCGATCTTCATTCCCCATCTGAGATCGTTAAACAAATTACCTCTATATCTATTGAACCAGGTGTAGAAGTTGAAGTAACTATTGCAGACGCATAAGTTAAAAAGGTATATTTGTATGTACTAAAATAAAACAAGAATAAAAGTTTTTTTTCTTATTGCAATTGCATTGTTTTTTGTTTTATATCAAAATGAGTTTATAATTTTCAAGTACGCTAGTAGGGACGTTACTCTACAATTAATGACTGATTTATATGTTATTGGAATAAAGAAATCAACGTAAATATTTAAAAATTGCCGCTTCCTGAAAAATGCACAAGTATTACCAATTGTAACATATAAAGTTTTACTTTCGTAGTTGTACGGTTGGTATTAAAATTTATAGTTTTTTTTTTTGTTTGTCAAAGCAACGGATTTTAAATTAATTTGAAACTCAATAAGATACTTCGGTTTACATGTACATGTTTTTATATAATTTAATTTGCATTGTGGTGAAAGAAACTCATCTGCATTTATAACTGGGAGGTATTTTCTTGAAATTTACTTAGCGTAAACTACATTTTTGAATATATTTAAAAAAAATAACCTCTGTTTCTCGTTTGTCATTTTTTATCATCACGTTTTTTAGCGTTTAAAAATTTAAATTGAAACCACATGTTTTTTTTTTTAATTTTAGGAGAATGCAAAATTAATCACGATGCCTCGCCGTAGACGATATCACAGACGTAAACGTTATTTGAAGACTCTGAAGAAAAGAAATAAACGTTTACAATCGGAATCGACTACAGAGGATAGAAAGCGCGAAAACAATGCAACATTCGACATTTCTAAGATGACCGACGTTGGTTTAAACATAACTCAAATAATTTCTCCCGTTTGCACACCTAATCTTACACCACCTAGTAATGTCTCTTTATTTTGTAACATTCACAGCACTTCCGAACTTCTTGACAACTTTGCAAAGACTACTGAAGATAGAAAGTCATTTTTAAATAATGCAGATTTTTTAAAATATGATGTAGAAAATTTACCCAGTGCTACAACTAACAAAGAAACTATTAATTGTTTATCAAAATCACAATCATTAAAATTAAGAAATGAAGTAGCTGTACAAACAGAGAGTGAGAATACACATCTGGAGGAACAAAAAAAGACTAATGCTGGTTGTTGTGAATGGAATAAAGCTGATAACCTTACGAATCCTGTTGTCATTTATAAAACCCCTTTGAAAAGACTGCGTGACATTTGTTTTTCACCTTCTCAAGACTTTGAAGAACAGCACTGTACTCCTATGAAAGACTTAAGTTGTAGATCTTTGTACACCGAATATGACAAAGAGTTATTTAATGCATTTTCCAATTCACTTGATGATCCAGAAACTGAAAAAAAATTATATAACAAAAATGACACTTTTATAAGAAATAAGAAGACATCTACACCTTTGAACAAAAAGGTGTTAGATTTTAAAACAGATGAAACATTCAACATAAATTCATCGTTGACATCTGAAAATAGCAAAATTTCTGAATTCTTATTTAGTAAATGTGCAGCAACCTTTCCAACTACATTCAGTCACTTGCATAAGAGGAAAACGACTCCAAGAAAGTATCATCAAAAATTTTTTAAAAGCAAGAATTTTTCTATAAACCAACATAAGAAATATCCTTGCTTGACACACAATTACTACATTAATTATGCCAAGTTCACAAATCGAAGCCATAATATTACATTAAAGCACATGTCTCGAATAAATAAAATCAGATTTCCGACGAACAAGAGAAGCCCTGATTACACTACAAAAGGCCGTGGAATTAACAGCAGACTTTTGTCCAAGATCGTGAAATGTAGTAACCGATTTGCCAAACTTCCACAAAAACTATCAAATATAATTTCCTGGTTAGGAATAACTTTTACAAAGGTAATAGTTTAATCCTTTTTAGACTTTTGTCCGTAATATACAGAGTGGTTTTCATATTACATTAGAGTTATAACATATTTATACTTTTAAATTTTTGTAATGTATGTGATATGCTGAATTACATCAGTATGTCATCATCTACTAATACTTGCTGGTAACTGAAATATTTCATATTCATTTGACGTGCTATTGAGACTAAATAAGATGGAACTTCCGATTCATGTACGGTAGCTTCAATAAACTACTGACGACGAACTTAATCTATTCATATATATGCAAAATGTTTAATTTTCAGGGAATGTCTAGTTTATGTCGTCTGTATTCTTTGAATAAAACAATATTGTCGAAAACGGAAAATTTGACTAATCCAACTATTAACAACCCAAACGACAGCGAACCAGGAGTAGTTTGTAAAAATTGCGATCAAAATCAGGTGCAAATTTCGATTCTAACAGCCAAAGTTGGAGACTTGGAAACTGAAATGAACCACATAAAGCGTGAATACCAAACACAACTGACAAAACTTGCGACTAAAGTTGGGAATTTCGACTTGGAAATGAACCACGTAAAACAGGTAATATATAACAAATAAATATGACATCGAACTCTGTTAATTTCCTACAATTTTTTATTTATTTAAGGAATATCAAACGCAAATTTCATCATTGACTGCTCAAGTTGACGACCTCAAAAACGAATTGAAACTACAAAACGAAAAAATCCAAAAAATGACGTCTACCTTTTTCTCTAATTGTAACACTTACAACAGTTACCAGCCTTCAAAAAGCTTACAATTGGATGCTTGTGGCGCGCCTCCACCGCCGCCTCCTCCGCCTCCGCCGCCCCTTTTGTTAGCACCGGCCCCTATTATTAGGATCACATCGAGTACAAAGCTTGAGAAGAAAATGCAAAAGGCTGGTGCCGAAAATCGACCCGTTATTTCTCTGGATGACATCTTGAAAGTGAAACTCAGGAAAACGGCGGTAATTTTCTTTTTATATAATGTATTGTTTGATTTACAAACAATAAATAACGATTGGAAAAAAATCAATTGAAAACTATCTTTTGAATCAATAGCTGCATTTTACTATGACTTTTTTAGAGTTCTGAACCAAAAAAAGATAAATAGGAAGATTTTTTATTATCGTTACTTAATCCAGATAAATTTGTTTTAAAATTGCGAAAATTGAAGGTAGAAAACCAGGGTCGAGTCATATGAAAAGACTCAATTATATTTACACTTTCTAGAACAATTTATATGATTAAAACTGTACAAAAAGTACTGTTCCCACTAAGCATTTTTCTTAATTTTTATTTAAGATCTTTTTTTTTTGTAAAAGGAGCGGAAATCGCCGCTAAGGAGGCTGTCACCTTTGAAACGTTCGATTCAGCCGATAATTTCGTCGGATATGCTGCGACAGATCAAGTTGAAGCCGACGTCGCGGTCGCAAACACCGCTGATTGATTCTAGTCCGTTGAGTGCAACCGCAAGCCCTCAGGCAAGTCTCATGCGGATCTTGACAAACGTTGACACTAACGTACGAAGGGTAAAAAGGCTAAAACGTAGCAACGGTTATAGTTTTGATGATAGTTGTAGGACTCTTACGAGCAGGCGCGACGTCGGAAAAGACAGGGACTTCCTGTGAACGGACCACACTGCGCTAACTAACTATCAAAGGTACTAAAGTATTAATTATTCTTTTTTTTTATTATANTACATTGAGCAATTAGAAGCTTAACTAACGACCTATTAAATAAAAATTTAAATTTGAAGTATTATCGAGAGAAATTGTAAACTTAAAAAAAATCCACTTGAGATATCTTAAAGTACACGAACCATCTTCTTAATGGTCTTTAAAACAAAAAAAATTTGCGGATGTTTTATTCGATATCGAATAGTTTATTTTTTAATGTATTGTGCAAGAAGTGAATGTTTGTGCAATGTAGATATATAAAAGGGCGTGAAAGAAAAGAAACGTTTGATTAGTCGAAGAGAATTAATTCGTAAATCACTGTAAAATAATCGAGTGCAGCTTATGTACATTAATTTGTATAACACTTACAACTAGTACAAATTAGCGTGCGTTTTCTTAAATAATTAATAAATTTGCAGAAGTTATATTGATAAGTAGAGCGAATTTTTTAAGTATTACTTGCTGTAAATTTACTCTTTTTTATAAAAAAGATAAGAAATCGTTTTGTTTTTTTATGCAGCATACCAAAAATGTCCATATCTTAGTTCTTAACAATTAAAACTAAGCTATATAGCAGAAAAGACAGATTGGAACCATTTTTGTGGAAGATAACATTTTATTGAAAAAGTGGTTGATGGCATTTATGAAAAATTAACAGTTTATGTAATTGGGCGGAGTCTAAAGCTCAGAGGCGTTAATCATCGCTTCATATCTTTTTAAAAAAAATTATTTTATTCTTTTTTGTTTTAACTATTTAAATTGGAAATAACTTTTGGTTTCAGAACTTTTTTAAAAGACCTTGTATGTCATTTTATAAATTTCTGATTGTTCCTCGTATAGCGTTGGAAAGTGACACCTAGTGGTGAGTGACGAAAATAATCAAATTTCAAAATTTCACATTACAAAAAAATTATTTCATTAAAAATAAATACATATTTTTTATTGACTAAAATTTACTATAACTATAAAACTTTGGATGAAATCAATGCAATAAACGAATACGATGCTTTACAAATTCATAACTTAATAATGTATGTATAATGTTTTGCAACATTAATTACTCCAATAAAAAATATAAGCTGCAATTAATGGAGCTACCGATTCGTTAAAAATTTCATAATTATTTCATATTTTTGAGACAATTTTAATTTTAATGAAAAAATAAGATAGCAAAATGTTTTTCTTTTTTAAACTTGTAAAGTACCCACGTGCTTACACTGCGTTGTACTGTTAATAAAAAAAATAACATCAAGAAGAAGTAACAGATTTACAGACTGATAATGTTATCAGTTAAGATAAAAGCCAGAGACATGTTTATACTCATACATAATTAATAGCACCTTTATACATCTAATTAATTATATTTAGTTAATTAACAGTTTTGTTTGTTGAAGATGCGACTACAACTATGGGAGCTCAAATAAATTTGTTTTTTATTTTAACTTTTTTAGTAATTCAGATTAAAAGTAAGTAAAACCAGTACTTTAAAAATGCAATATTTTAAGAGCAATTCATTTATGCCCTATTAATTATAATATTTTTTTGTGCAGTGTATAGTGAAAATCTAGAGGGTAGAATTGTCGGAGGAAAACCAGCAGGTAACGGGGATGTTCCATACACGGTAAATGATTATTTTCGATTTAATTCTTTTACGCAAATTGATCATTTTTTCATAATTTAAAAATGTTAAATATGGGTACATATAGAATATTATGATTAGTCACGGTCAAAGTTCGAATAAACAGTATAATGTTCGTTTATTTTTCATTTAATCAGGGAAAGTAATAAAAAGTGTTCTCGTGCTAAACTCAAAGGTGCATCTAAACAAGGCAATATTTTTTTATTAATAAATCCGGAGACAAAATTGAAGAAACAGAGAAAGGTGTCTGCACTGATCTTCATTCGCATCCCCTCATACATAGGACCATTTTTGTAGAGCATTAAAAGTTTAAGCGATAAATTTATTGTAAAATAATTTTTTATAGGTTTCTTTAAGAAGATCGTGGAACAATGAGCATTTCTGTGGGGGCTCGTTAATAACGAATAAACATGTCCTGACCGCAGCTCACTGTGTTTATTATTCGTGGGGCGGGCCCCTTCCAGCATTCACAATTTACGTGGTAGCAGGCCAAATAAAATTGGAAACAAATGGAAGCAGCATTTACAGGGAAGCATCAAATATAATAGCACATCCACAGTACAATACGAAAAATCTCATAAATGACGTAGCAATTATAGAAGTGAGTAAACGTTCTAATTTGATCATTCTTTTTGAAACAAAAACAGATTCATTTTTAGATAAACAGCGC